ATTAAAGTAAAATGTGGGTGTAAATGCAACAAAAAAGTTTAAGAATACAATATATGCTGTATAAACTATTATTCGACAAATTAGTAAACATGATTATTAAAAGTTTTAGTTTGCAGTTGCACAAATAAAAACATTACATAATATAAGAAATTAATAAAAAATAAAAACATTGCATAATTTAATAATTAAAAAAACAATGACTAAAAAGTCAAGTAAATTTATGGTTCTATACCTGTAATTCATGATATCCATCACACATGCGTATAGTTCCACCTGGTTTAAACTTTTATTTTTGTTTTATGCATTGTGATTTGATCAAAGTACATTCACGTGACATTGTAAATAGTAAAACACGTCCAGAAATGTATAAATCATATATTTATGATAGGAACAATATAAGAAATGAATTTATAAAGAAAAAACGAACGTTATATTTAGCCGTATGTTTTTGGAGAGATGTTTTGTAAAAGTAATTCAGCCGTATGTTCTTTGACAAAGGATATATCCCAATGCAGTCATCTTTTCCTAATTGTAAATTTTATCAAATTATCACCGAAGACTTCTAGTTATAAATTATAAACATGTGTAGAAAATGATGTATTTATATTTGGTTAAAAACAGCACCATCTTTAATAATCATTCATTTACTGAAAACATTAGAATATGAATCACTTGAAATTACTCAACAATTTTTTTTTTTAAAAAAGGTAATATTAGTTATGATACTCATTAAATAAAATTTAATGTTATATATACGTTGTTTTTTGGTAGTGAAGAACACCGATGTTCGTTTTTGAACATATTAAAAACCAAGGGATAGACTGAACTGCTTAAAAGTTTTGACATATTGATCCTTAGATCCCATTGCATTGGCTTTATAATCTGTGTAACCGGTGCACACTGACAATCTTTGGCTGCCAGCCTGACCCATCCGATGAGGAAGCCATTTCCTCAGTGTTTGAGGTCATTTGGATATTAAAAGAGATGGAACAGTATCCTTTGTGCTTCATAGTAGATAACTGATGCTGCTTGATACATTGCTGACTGTAACCGAACAAAGCTGCTCCATACATTGCTGACTGTAACCGAACAAACCAAGTTGGTCAGTAGGCCAAGAAGTCTCAGGAGATGTCTGCTTCCCATTTGCAGCATAGAACTCATTCGAAGAACACTTTTCCAGTTCACTTTCTCCACCCTAGTGTCACTTTTCTCGTAGCATTGGTATATGGTGTAAGTATTTTTGTGGAGCTGCTCGAAATTCTCCGTACTTGCTTATGATATCTCGGACTTTTCTCTCACCCCTCAGCCATAATTCTGGCTCCACGACCATCTAACTAAGGTCAAATCATTAGAGCATTCTGGCTCCATGACCATCAAATAATTACCTAGAAGCTCAGTGTCTTCTTCCGTCCAGCCTTCGACAGCATTCACAGCCATGATTATCACATCAGAAACTTTATAAGCTGTTTCTAACATCTCAACTCCTGCAGTTGCCATCACTCTCTATCTCAAGATATTACCTTTGGCAATTAATCATTGAAAAGATAATAAATTATCTATTTTCTGGACAACATCATTGGTTTCTCTGATACCACCAGTGTCAAGAGGAGTGACAGGCAAGTCACGGAGTCTAACATTAGCTTCCACTACGTCTCGAGTAGTTCCACCGATTTCTGTATCTAAATTTTAATGTAGTACTATTTGAATAAAAGTGATAAAGATATGAAAAGCATCATTATGTTCCATACTTTTCTCCATGCATTTAAAAGACTTGAATTCCCGACATTCTGACACCCGATGATACTAACACAAAAGACAAATGAAAACTGAAAATGATTGCTAAAATCTAAACCAATAGAGTTATAATGAACCTGGGGGATATTTAACAAAGGGGTATGAACAAATCTTCAGACCAAGCAGTCAGTTGATGAATTGTAATTAGCGTGCCCTCTTATTACTGTAACTCCAAGGATATGTAGTTTAGGACTAACCACATGTGACCTATAAAGGCAAAACTCAAGAGATGATTCTAAGGGAGTTGATAGCATGCCATTTTCTCTTTTTATTTAATCCATCTGAAGGAAGTATGTTGTACCTTGACATTTTCTTCGGATCATTTACTGCCATGTACTTGGATTATTGGTAACACGCAAAAAGAAAGATTCATGCCTGTGGTACAAACTGTCTTATCATTGATGAATCTTTTGTGGTTCAACGTTGGTCATATGTGCTTCATCAAACACAATGATTACCATCAGATTTCAGTTCTCCATTGTAAAGAACGTATTAAGTTCACCTCGTAAAAGTACATTGCGATACTTACAAAGAAGTGTTCTTTACCCAGGACTTGCATACTGTTTTGTATAAAATTATAAGAAAATGATGATCTCTTGTTCCTGCTCCAAACAACAAATCAGCTTGCTGGTTAGCTTAGTGCTTCAAATCAAGTAAAAGAGGTTTATAAGCAAAAATGTGAATGACCTACAATTTGCAATACACAGTGCTTTGATGCGTCAACAAAAATAGAATTCAAATAATGTGAATGACCTATTCAAAACTATATACGTCAATCAAAAGCTAAGATCATTGTTTGGACAGAAAATAAATTAAAAATCTCCAACCTTTCCACAAACATAAAGACCGCCAACATATAGAGCAATCTGAAGAATCAAGATTTTACATTTTAAATCAGTTCATTAGGTTGCATATAAAAGGAAAAACATTTCAAAATATGATATACAATCAGCGAGAATCTCTGATGGCAAGCAAGAAAGCACCTTTCTGTGCATCATTTAACATTCTACAAAATCAAAACTCTACAGAGAATTTAAGAACTTGAGAAAAAGAAGAAAAACCTTGAGACTGCTAAGGACCTAAGGACTTTGCAACTTCGCAATTGTTATTGTACCTAGTTGCATACTTGAGTTCTTCAAGTCATTCTCTCCTGTCAAAACCTTATACTCAGTCACCATGTTACAGTTTTTTCTGTCTTAAAATCACCATGTTCAGATCTGACTTTTCTAGTATCCAAACAGAGTTAAACAACAACAACAAAAAAATAAGAGAAAGTGGTTACCAAGATTGGTGATGATGAGCCTACTTCAGGATTTGCGCAAGTGAGGATTATTCACAGGCACAGAAAAGACACCCCCAAACATATATCCCAAAAGCAAAACCTTCAACATACAAAATAAAGCTTATAACATAAACTCCACAAAATACAGTATAATAGCCATGAAAGTGAATCACTTTCCAAAGAAGACAAATAGTTACCTTTCAAAAAGCAGGAAATTTTCACCGGTTGTTAAAAAGATCCCCTTGAAGAAGGCTTGCTTCTCAACCACTTTCCAAAGAAGAAGAAGACAAACCAAACCTTTCCAAAACAGAAAACTTTTCAACTCTGAAGAACAGTTGCAGCCAGATTACGTCAATTCCAAAAGGGTTTTACCAAAAGAAATAAAAAATCGAATACATTTCATATGTCCTTAGATTTCTTTAAAAACATTTCCGAAATCGAATACAAAGATTTAGCACTCCTCTGTGCTATATTCACTGCGATAACAAAGTCAATCAACCCAAACCCCCAAAGTTTCCATCTTTATTTATATTTATGCGTACGGACACATTGTTTCTATCTCCGCCGTCTCGGTCGTCTTAATCGCCGCCCTGAAAATGAGTGAGCCTAGAGACATTCTTGCTCTCCTCATCTGCCACGAATCCTAGTCATGTCTTAACAAAAAAGACGATGACGATGAGAGCAAGATTGAGAGATCTAATGGGCAGCAAAAACCTCACTCTTTCCATGTCTCAACAATGATACTGGTTTGGGCGACGGAATTGACCGGACTAGAATTGACGGCCGCTTCTCCGTTAGATGACAGTGAGTCGGGAACAACGAACAAAGTCATCGCAATAAAGAATTGTGAGGATTATACAACTTTTGATGAAAATATAAACATCGAGGAAATTTTTTATATAGAAACTCAGGGGGGAAAGCAAAGAGAATCCATTAATGAGATTGAAGATTGTACAGGAAGGGAGAGTGAATTGATTGTTTGTAAACTGAAAAAAGTGAAACAGAGAAACGAAGAAGATGAAGAGAAAGGGATCTGCGAATCGATTTTTAAAATTAGGGTTTGTGGGCTTTTCGTAATTGAACGTGGCCAGGCCGTGCAATATTTCAACCCCAAACGATTAAGGCAAGGCCGCTGACGTGGCCAGAAACTGTTTTTCTATTGGTTGAATATATCTGCATACGTGGACACGCTGAAAGGGTTTGATTTAGGCCTTTTAATATAGTTAGATATGAGCTTAGTGTCAAGCACAGCCCTATTTGTACTGTTCACAGGCCCCACCGACACGTGGTGACCCGTGATTATTTTTTGAATAATTATTTTTTGTTTTTTTTTAATCAAATAAAAAAAAAAAAAAAAATAAGCATCCCCTAGTAGGGTGGTGG